AGGCTCTCGGCTGTGCAGCTGATTGACTGCGGGATGATCTGCTTCCAGGCACCGCCCAGGAAAGGCGCAGGTTTCAGGATGCAGATGATATGGGATCCATACTTGGATGGACTCCCAGCACGGCCTTCCCGTGCCTCAGGAGGGAGATGGACGTAGCAAACAGCAGTGTAACAGGCGGTCTCTGCCCCCATGTGCCCTGCACCGCTGGCTGTCCACTGTTCATGTGCGTTGACTCGTTTTATTCTTGCCTATTCAAAATGCTAGTATTGGCCACATCTTACAAATAAATGAATGGACTGGACGCACAGGGTTCAGATAACCTTCCCAAAGCCACCTAGCTGGCAAATGTGGGCCTTGAGGTTTTTTAGACTCAGCGTTTCTGGAACCAAGGGACTCTTCAGGGTCTCCCCTGGAAAGAGAGAAAAACTACAGCAATACAGACGTAATTTTGGGAGACAGTGTCATTAAAGAATATGCAGGGAAGGAAGGACTGTGAAAAGGTCCCAGGACAGAGCAGCATTTGGGTGGGTGCAAAGGGACAGCTTCCAAGATGTCCAGCTGAAACACCGAGCACCCAGCACTTGGGATTTTCAGAATTAGATTATATTACAATCCACAATGTAGTGCAGCCATTCTGTAAGTGATGTTCCAGGTCAAATATGACCAACTAAATCAAAATATTTGACATATGTGCAAATAAAAGCAGGTTGCAAAATGTTAGGAATTGATTTTCATTTCTTATATGGGGAGGAGAGCTGTGCGTGGTTCCTTGAAAGAAAATGCTAGAAAGAATGACACTCATGTGCTCACTTGTTCACCCGTGCTTTCACAAACGCATCCAATGAGCATGTATTTTTAAACAGGGAAACATTAAGTGGGTGGGGGTCTGTCTGAAGAGCCCTGGGGGAGGGGCTTAACTGGGAAAAGAAGAGGTGTCCTCACAGGTCATATCCACTCCTGGAGCTTCGGGGAAGAGAAGGCGCAGATGCAGTTGCATGTGGCCATGTTGGGGTGGCCAGGACTCTGGCAGGCAGCCAGTGTCCTCCTGAGTCTGTGCCGTGGCTGAGGTCTGCAGTCCATGCATCCTGTTTTCCTGTCTGTGTGTAGTGGTTTGGGTCCTATCTTGGCAGGACCCAGGGCCTGCAGTCCTTCCCAGGAGTGAAAGAGCTAGTTGTTGCTTTTCATTTCTTCCTTTTAAGATGGAGAAAATATTTTGAGCTTCTCACGAGGGGCTTTGAAACCTTGTCATGGAGAGGACCCATCACCTCAAGCTGGTGGGTGGTGTGCACCCTGTTTGCTAATAAACCAAAGCAGGACCCTCGTGTCAAAATGCTGGAACCAGCTGGATCAACTGGGACCCCTTCCTGCATTTGAGCTGCCCTTTCCACTTCCCAGCCTCATCGGCACCCAGACCTGAACTGGGAGGTGGTCCGAGTGAATTCCTAAAAGTGGGAGTGGGCATCTAGGGATCAGGGGCAGATACTTCTTCCTTTAGTCCATGAAGACCAAGAATCCCTTGGCCACAAATCTACCAAAGACACAACGCAGGGTATGAGAGCGGACAGTGCGTGAAATGTGAACTTCAGACCATGAATTCTGCCTGCGTGACTCCATCACAGCCTCCTTTTTTTCCTAAAGCAGGCCCATAAAGTGCTGCCAGCCAAGCAGAAATCCTCCTCAGGACCAAGGCTCGCCTTCCGTCTGGGCTTGTCAACAAACCCCCTTTATGAGTGGAACAGGCCTCTTGTATGTGTCGCGCTCCTGGCTCCTCACCGAGTGCGCTAGGAGCCAGGCGAGGCAAACGCTGGGCGCTGTTTGCTGAGTGCGTTTATTGCCTTTGCATAATTTATGAGCTGGAGGGTTGACCATCATTCGTCTCTGCCAGGGGCTGGCACTCGAGGCTCCAGAGAGCAGAGCTGTAAATTGGATGGTGCGCTCCTGCTGAGCTCACGGCAAAGTCCTCGGGTCAGTATGGGAATTTAATACCAGAAATGGAACTGTTTTCTCAGCGCACCATGTGGGCCCCGGCGCAGCGGAGACGGTCTTGGCAGACTCCACGGCTGGCCCGCCGAGGAGCTGTCACTCACCCGCGTGTTGTGTGGGGAGCCTGAGCATTTTTAATCGGCTTGGCATCCGTGCTGCTTCCATAATGGATACCAGTAGGTCTCAGTTCTTCACCATATGCTTAGCTCTGGAGACAAGGTGCTTCTGGGTATATCAGTAATTACTTGATGCAGAATTAAGTGGACCTTGAAATTAGAACTGGACTGTTGGAAAGCAGGAAGCTTAACACTTTGATAGAAATAACCATTCCCAGGGACATCCTGCTGTTGGGACGGGGGCAGGCATCAGTTCTCTCCCAGGCTCCCCAGCACTTGTCCCTCGTGCACACAGAGCCTCAGGGGTGTGGGCAAATGCTCTGCCACAGCCCTCGGCTGTCCCTGATCACCTCCCGAGGAGACTGAGCATCTGGAGAAGGAGCCCGCCTGGCACAGAGCTCCTCTCCTCCTCACTTCCTGCACCATGCCTTGCCACTCCTGAAAACGTGCCCAGGACTGAGGGGCCTCCAGGAGGGCTCGATTAAAGGCAAGGTGAGGTACACTGCGAGGAGAACACCGCTGTCCTCAACCATCTGTTGGTTGGGGCCTTTGGAGGCTTCATTTCACCCATTTTCTTCCTCAGCTCATTTGACTTATTGTAGTAGAAAAATCCCTCATCAGGCTAAAGAGCTTGGCTTACGGTCATCTGAGGCTGGAAGAGGGCTGGAGGGGTGTGGTTGTCCTTGGTCGAATCGTGGTCACTGATAGTTAATGATCCTGTGGCTCTCAGAAGCTGGGAGGAGGGGAGGACACGTCCCAGCCCTCCAGTCTGTAAGATCACAGTGCAAGTCCTCAACTCCTCTTGGGTGGAGTGCTGGTGTGAAAAGAGGAAGTAGTCACCAAACTGTCCACTTGAAGTGGGCTCTTACATCACCTTCCATTGAAGATGCTCCAACAGTGGCCTAAGTAATAAGATCACTTACTGTTTTCTGAACGAAAACATCCAGAGGCAGCTGCTCTGAGGGGTTCAGTGGCTCTGCTCTCCGCCTTCCGTTCCCTTGCAACATCCAGCTTGTGTACTTAGGCTTTTTGCCACAATTTTGCAAAATGGCTGCTGTGGATCTGGACATCACATCTCACACAGTCAAGTTGAAAGGCAAGTTGCAGATGGTTCCTACCTTTTTCTTTGCATTGAGAAGATCTTTTTCTAGAACTCTCAGCAGACTTCAAATCTCATTTTTATAAATTTATATATGACATTGGAATGCATTATAATTCTTATTACACATATAAAGTGTAATTTTTCATATCTCTGGTTGTACACACGGTGTATTCACGCCAATTCGTGTCTTCATACTTGTACTTTGGATAGTAATGATCATCACACTCCACCATCATTAATTACCCCATGCCCCCTCCCTTCCCCTCCCACCCCTCTGCCCTATCTAGAGTTCGTCTATTCCTCCCTTGCTCCCGCTCCCTACCCCACTATGAATCAGACTCCTTATATCAAAGGAAACATTCAGCATTTGGTTTTTGGGATTGGCTAACTTCACTTAGCATTGTCTTCTTGCAAATGCCATGATTTTATTCTCTTTTATTGCTGAGTAATATTCCATTGTGAAAGGAGAAAAAGAATACCTACGTTTTCCACCTCAGAGGGTCAGGACTAGGGAAAGGGAGTTACAAGTGGCTGTGGGTGTTCACCAGGCAGTGGCCACTCAATAGTACAGCCACTTCCCGTTTCTGTCCATAGCTCTATCAACGCCCATGTCCAGGTGGCCACACTGAAAACCTTGGTGTCACCCTAGACTAGCCCTGGTGCTGGCCTCCCATCTCCATGTGTCATTGAGTGCTACTAGTTCTCCTTCAGGTTGGCTCCACCATCTGTTCCTCCCTCTCCCACACCAGGCCCTCCTGGGTGACGGTGATTACTGGATGACAACCGGTATTCAGTGCAGATGACTCTTAGCATGGGGTGACCTAGTTCCCCCCTATGCATCCTCTCTCCTCTACCCCACCCCATGCCAAGAGCCCTCTTGATGGAGTGTGCTCTGAGCATGCCACAGCCCTGCTAAACCAAGCCTAGCTGAGGGCATCCACCGTCTTGGGTAATACTCTCACAATGCATAGCATTATTTTCTCAGTGGCTGTTGAGTGAGTGAATGGATATATTTATCTGCTGAGCATTTTCTCTAATAAAACACACTCCCTTTTTTAAAATCCAGTATTGATTTACAGAACTCTCTCGATGTTTAAAAAGAGGTGTTCTTTTTCCTTGACTCGCAATGGGGAACCCAAAGCTTGAGTTAACTATCCTTCTCTGGCTGCCCCACAGCCAGCTCCGCAGTTGGAATTTGAGACTTGTTGGGCTTGGTGTGGTCTTTGCCCCTGGTGGTTCCCTGCCCAGGCTGTGGGTTTGTCACCTTACCCTTCCATGGCATGTTTTCTGCAGGGAGTGTTCCTTCTGTTCTCGGGGGTCACAAATGGAACCTTGCCCCTTATATTCTGTTTCCTTCAATATTGAAAATGCAGTGCCTAGAGATTTACCTCCTTTCCTTTAGAAAAGCACCAGGAGAAATTCCCGAAGTTGAAGGTAGAAAGTCTGTCATGAAATTGATTTTGCTCGGATCCCATTTAGGAATCACATTTCCTCCATCCATGGCCGGGCTGGCTCCTACTGGGAGCCCCGTCTGCTGAGCTGTGCTGTGGAGGGGCTCATGGTGGGACCAGCACCTGCTGCCCTGACTGTGAGGGAGCCCTGAGGCACAGGCGTCAGGTGGCCTCAACAGGACAGCATTCCACCTCTGGTACTGTTCCCTCACCCTTGGGCTGAAGAAACTGCAGTTCACAATATATTTCCTATTTCCTTTACTTGTCTTGCCCTTTTCAGGAGCAGAAATAGCAAAAGCAAAAGCATAGTCATTGCACTAACCTTTATTCTCTTCTCTTCATTTTCAGTGTGACAGTGACAGTGACCAGGAAGAGAAGGTAAGACATCCCCCCCCCCTCCGTGTGCATAGTACCCAACAGGCCATGAGCACCATGGTGCTCCTTCAGGCAGCCGTGGGTGGGGTGCCAGCTTCTTGCTGAGAGCACCTGTTCCCTCCTGAGATGGGCATCATTCACAGTGACCCCCTGTAAGAGGCAACACGTGTAGCTTGTGAGACCCACTGTTTAAAACAAGCTCCTTAACATTGCATGCATGTGACAAATGTGACACTGTTCACTTTATGGAAGGTGACTAGAGACCCAGCACATTTTTAAAGAGGAAATCCTGTTAGAATCCATGGTGGCAACATTGAACTTGCTAGCTGTGAAGCCATTTTCTGCCTTGCTCTTACTGGCCTGTTTGCTTCCTCCGGTTTTCTGTATGTGTGGCCTTCCTAACAGAAATGTCAAGGGCAGTCTGTCCAGACATCCCATGGGGGTTGGGGTGGGCAGGTGGGAGCTGCTGTCTTCTGTGGGTGGATGGCCGGGGGAGGGCGGTTCTTCCAGCAGGTGCAGCCTCTGTGTGTCCAGATCAGCATGGATCCAGAAGAGAAGCTCAGTATTTGAGCTTCCAGAAGATTGGACCACAACCTGGTAAAGTGAACTTTCTGCTGCCTGAAACAAAGTGGTTATGTACTTGGTCTCTCTTTCTCCCTATCCCAATCTGCCAACCAAACTCCTCTGAGTTTTTATTGCTGTTTTATTTTAACAAAGTTACCTGAGCATCACGTTTTCTGTAATGCTTGGCCCAGAAGGAGGGACGGTCCTGGCCCCCCTGTTTCCGAGTCTGTGCTCTGACTCTGAGCTCCTAAGTTCTTGCAGATTTTACTCAGAATCCTGCAGTTGCATTTATTGAGCTCTCTGCGTCCAGCCCAGGAATTTTCCCTTCTTCTCTGTGCCGGTCTCCAGGAGAGATCCAAAGGCTCTTGTTCTGCACTGTCGTTAATTTGAATTCAGCATATGTAGCCTGTTATAAAATGCGAGACATCATCATTTGAGCAGGTCAAGCATATTCAGATGAAGACAAATGGTGCTTATTTGATTTCCTTAAAATCAGGAAATGAAAAAAGTGCTCTCTGGAGAAATCATGTTCTGCCTGACTTGGATGATAGACCAATGCATGTCCCCCAGATAAGAACAGGCTCTCGCCTGGAGGTTTTTATCTCTGAAGGACGGCCAGGACTGTCAGCTTGCTGACATGTGCATTATCCATGTCACTTTAAACAAAGTGACCTATGGAAGGGTGCGCTGTGCTGTGACATGGTAATGGGCTGTTGGATGACAGGGAGAGTACACTCTGGAAGGGGCTGTGGGTTATTCTTTTGTTTAACTGACAAGTAGGAACTTCCTCCATCCAGCCCCTGCGAGTCTCAGCTTCTTGGAAGTAGGACCCCTGGTGTCTCAGGCAGCCAGTGTGTAGTGGGTGCCAGGGACGAGTGGACAGCAATAATGCTTCAGCATTCCCAGTATAGTCAGTGCCCACTGAATCACTAGTCACATTCACATGTGGCAGTTATCATCTAGCTCTGTCAGATGTTGCTGGCACCCAGGGAGGATGGGAACCTTCTGGCCATTCGAGGAGATCTGTGGGTGGTGAGGCTGTCACTTCTCAGGTCTGGCACTTCTCCAAGTAAATGGGCCTCACGCAGGGTTTGACCACCAGGCAGACTTCCTTCTCAGGAAGGAAACGTGGATTCCAGGAGCATCGAGGTCAGCAGTGGAGGTGGGAGGGTGCTGCGGTGCGCTCCTGAGTCGCGGTCTTGGCTGCATGCTCAGGTCCCTTGGGAAGCTCTTCCAGTGCCAGTGCCTGGGCCTCCCCAAGGTCAACGATCACAGAGGTGGTCACCTAGCTCTGCTAATTTCTAGAATTAAGTTACTTGTGGCTGTCACAGGGAGCTGGGGGCCACGGGCCTTCCTGCATGCTGCAGAGCACCCTGGGTAGGCCTTGGCTGTCACCTAGATTCCCGAGCCATCGCCGGCTCTCCTGAGTGCAGTAAGAAGCAAAGGTCCAAGTGAGGGGGTGGTGGGAAGGCAGCACCCCCCCCCCACTCAGCTTAGAGGACTACAGGGCAGTAAGGAAAACTAACAGGTGCCCACAGGGGTGGAGCGCTCACCTAGCACGCAGGAGGCCTTGGGTTTGATCCTCAGCACCACATAAAGATAAAATGAAGGTATTGTTGTCCATCTACAACTGAAAAATAGATATTTTTAGAAAAACAGATGCTTACAGAGAAGACAAGGGCCTCAGGGGTGTCCCCACCCCCTATGCAGGCTGTGCCTCCTTTGCACGAGGTGCTCCTACAGGTCTTAACTGAAAGCCACGCCACGACTGGCACTCTGCTTGGGTCCCTGCCCTGCCACGTGCCTTCTCCTGGGGGTTCCTGGCAGGAACAATCAAGCCTCTGTCATTGAGCCGGGCCTCCTCGGCCCTGGGGTAGTTGAGAGGGTCAGCCTTCTCCTTTTGGACTAAAATGGTCTGGGTTTATTACTACCTTGAACCCCGTCCTCCCAGAATTGTCTCCGCCAGAGCCTAGCCCTGTCGGCCTCCTGTGTGGCAGGCCCTTGGCCATGCACCTTGGAGCCCCAGAGCTCCCAGGGCAGCTCTACTGTATGGCTGGGAGGACCGCAGATGCCCTCCGTGTCCTGAGACCCCTGCGGGGAGCCCACCAGGGATGCTGTTGGAGGAAACAGTGAGCCTCATGGGGGCCCACTGGGAACTCTCTCCAGAAGACCTGTCATCCCCCTACTCCACAGGGATCTGCGAGCTGGCATCTAAAATCAGGGGACTGTATTTCACACAGCCGCCTGAATTAAGATAAACTCTGCTTTCCTCTGATATGAAGATGTAATTTATAAAATGATACCGTACTAATTAATGTGGCAGTGACTGGGAAAGGGGCTGAAGAGGAGTGCGCTCCCTAAATGCAGGAAGCAGGCTGTGCGCAGAGAAGGCTTTGAGACCCTGGGCGGTGTCTGCCCAGCCGCCCCCAGCACGTGAACACGTTTCACATTATTGTTGAGAGCCTGAGGACGCTGGTACTGAGCAGAACCTGGGTGGGGAATCAGAGAAGACTGCGAGCACTCACCTCCAACCAGGGGTTGTTCTCTTGTAGTTAAAGAAAGAGAGGCAGCACTTGGCACCTTAATCACCCGAATTAAGCAATTATTCCAACCCCCACTCAAAGTGAATCAGCACCAGGAGAACAAAGAGGCAGCGTGCGGATTCCATGTATTTGGCCTGTGTTTCCCTTTGTTTCCTCATGGTCTCCACCCGAAGCAGCAGCCTGGGTGCTAAGCAGCACCCATTGGTTATGAGGTTAATGCAGACATGGAAAGTAACCCCGACTGTGCCATGTGACCGCAGAAGGGAAGGCGTATTGCCCGGGTGCCATGCCCTGGGCTTGTCTCTGACTGCCCCTTTCTGCCTGATGGCCGTGGGCAACCTGGCCTTCTCATCCGCTGAGGGGAGGACACCAGCTCCATCCATGTTCTGTGACAATTAAATGGAGCCTCCTGGCCCAGCCCTGACCCATAGTAAGTGCCCGGTAAGCATTAGCTCACCTGAGGAGTCCCACCTGGGAGGTGGAGAGGGAACCGCCTGGGAAAGGAGGAAACTGCCATCTCCTTGAAAGCTCTGGCTCCGCAGGGAACCTACCAGAGTGTCCCACCCGAACTTGAGGTCAGCTCCTGTCTCGGATGGCATTTCTCCTGGGACAGCTGGTGGGAGTGTTATTGCACTTTGAAGGGTCCCCAAGCAGTGTTTTTGAAGCCCCTTATTCAAACATCAGGCTTTACTCTGAGCAGAACCTGGAGCTGAGGGCAGCGGGCCATCTGGAAGGACAGCAGGATGGTCTGAAGCCTTCCGTGTCCCCTCAGCAGCTCTTCCCAGATGCCAGAGCTGCTGGGTCAACAGGCGATGGTTCTGAGTCAGGGCTCCCAAGTGGGGCCGGGCATCCTAGGTGGGCACTGGGAAGCTGAGCAGGGGAGGCCTGCCTTGCGTGTGTGAGGCCTTTGGAGCCCCAGTGCCCCACACAAATGCCTCCTAGGTTGTATTTGGCGCACAACTGGATCTGAGACCCACGACTTAAAACAAATGCCAAAAAGAAATATTTTTCTTTTTTTTTAAGCATTTTTTATACCTTTATTTTATTTATTTATTTTATGTGGTGCTAAGAATCGAACCCAGGGCCTCACACATGCGAGGCAAGCGCTCTACCACTGAGCCACAACCCCCACCCCACCCCCAAAAGAAACATTTTTCTTTTCCCATTTTTAGTGCTCTTGAAACTTCTCCTGCTTACCAGAAGGCCTGGGAGGCTGCAGAGTGGTCAGGTGTGCGCCTCTGCGGGCACCTGGCGGGCCCCTGCCTTAGGTGGCTGGTGTGAACCTACGCGCAGTCCGGCAAACTGCCTCACGGAAATGGACTGTCCTCCTTTTCCACCTGCCTCCTGACTGCAGTTCCCCTTGGCTAACAGCCGTATGCACATGGTGGTGAAGTGGCTGGGCTCCTGCGCCTGGCCCCTGGACAGCCACTGGGATGCTGCCTGCTGTGAAAGGAGAACCTCAGGGTTCCCACGTCCACTCTACCTCCCGCGCAGGCGCACACTTTTTGCATGACCTCATATTTTGATCCATGTTCAGCTTTGTGGTTTTTGCATGTTGTGTTCACTTGTGTGGGGAGATGGTAGCTCCTAAGAAAGCAGCGGAGAGGCCAGCGCTTCTCCCCCGCTCAGCCCACACCACGGCCCACTTGGCCAGGGGGACTCAGGAAGTGCTGAGCCTTCAGACTGGGGACGTGGCTTTGCTTACAGTGGAAGAGGCCCACCCCTGCCTCACACTGGGAAGCTTGTGCGCCCTCAGCAACATTCCAGAAGCCTGGCGGCCCTGGCAGTTGCTTGAGGCGCCCCAGTGCTTGGTTTTTGAAATAAGATGGATTCTGGTCAGGAGGCAATGGAGAGGCGCTGCCCTGTTTTGCAGCTGGAATGGAATTTTCTTCACCC